AGGAGGCCGCAGGGACGGCTGGTTGTGTGGGGCCGTGCAGCGTATTCTGGTGGTAAGAACTGCTGGCAGGAGCTGGGCTTGGCATCTGAGCACTCTGATTTCTGCTTTGGCTCAGCTATTTTTCCTGCTGGTGGGCCAGGGCATGACATCTTTTAGTGCCTCAGTTTCCTTTTCCATAAGAGGGGTTAAGAGTCGCACCTAACTCACTTGTTGTAAGATTCAAATATATTAAAATACATGATCCATGGAGGAAACCACCCAGTACATTCTAAGTGCTCAATAAATGGTAGCTGGTATTGTTGTTCTTATTAACGGAACTTCTGGCAGCACTTGCAGTTTCTCATTTAAGCCTTTCTCCTGCCTGCTTCAGTGACTCCTCATTATCTGTAATACAGGGCCTCAGGGCACCTTGCCATGTCAAGAATGGGCTATTGCTGGGCTGAGATAGTGACCTTCTTAGTTCTGGGGCAACCTCCGTTGCTGATCATCTGTGGCCATTCCATTTATTCCAGAACAATCTGAACTTCTTCCTCTCCCTCTCCTCCTTCTGCTTTCTCATTTTTGATCTTTAAAATCTCCCTCCAAATTTGGCTCAGCAAATGAAGTTGAGTGACATATATGATGGCCAGCTGAAGAATATATATATATACACACACACACACATACACACACACACACACACACACACACACATATACATACATACACACACATTTCAGGAGAGGGCTTCTTTATCTGATGTGGGTGAGCAGGGGCTCTGATTCCTCAGTCCAAACACCTCCAGTGTCAGCTGCAACCCAGAGGACAGGCCCAGGCCCTGGGGTCCCAATGCCCTGCAGCAAAGTTCCTTCTACCAACACACATCTGGTGCTGGCCCCTCTTTTGCCCACAAGGTTCTAGAGCTTTAGAATCATGTGGCCCCTGCCTCAAGGAGCTTGCCTTTATGTCTGGAACAATAATTGAATAATTTTCAGAGGAATTTATCTAGGAAGGGGAGAGTCTCTGGGATCAGGAGGTAATTGACTAGATGGGGGAGATGGATTAGTGTTTTTTTGCAAGAAAAGATGGTACCTGTGGCAAGAACCTACTCCAAAATAAAGGATAAATATTCTTGGTTTCTTCTTTTGCCTCAAAACATGATGTTTACTCAAATAATTTATAAAAAGAAATGAAAAAATGTCCAAACATAAAGAACAAACAAAAATTGGAAAAAAAGTTGTTCAAACCTTTTGCTCCTTCCCACTTCCTGCAGCCCCTCAGCCCTGAGGATTAAACCCTGGCTAGGCAGAGTAGAGCAAAAGAGCCCTTGTCAGGTAAGGTGGGCAATAGTAAAGGGCATGTCCTCAATGGAGGTGTTTTAGATGGTCTCAATGTGTCTCTAAGAGTTCCCTTTCTGTCACCATATTAGTAGCAACACCATTATGGCCAAAAAGTCCACTATGATCCATTCTAAGGGTACAGCTTTCCTGACTAAAGAAAACTACTGCAGCTGAGTGCAGTGGTGCATGCCTGTGATCTCAGCTACTTGGAAGACTGAGGCAGGAGAATTGAAGGTTCAAGGCCAACCCAAGCAATTTAATGAGATCCTGCTCAATATAAAAAGGCTGGGGATGCAGCTCAGTTGGTAGAGCACTTGCCTAGAATTTACAGGCCCTGGGTCCCATCCCCAGTACTGCAAAAACCAACATGCCATAGGCAGAGATTGCAGGGAGGTGGTAAGAGGTTCACGTTATTCAGCTTATTCCAGTTACTCTCTCAATGATGTGTTCAGGGCCATCCTCTCTGGGCTGGGAATCTTGACTGGTTGACATGACCCTTAGAAATCCTGCCAGGCATGGTGACTTGCACCTGTATTACCAGCACTCAGGACACAGAGGCAGAAGGATC